AAAAAATACCATTTTAATTTTGAGACATGTTGTGTAGTTTTTAATTACCTACAAAATGATACCACATTCAACTATTAAGAACTATGGCCAGCCTATATTAAAAGCTTTAGAACCCTCTCACTCAGATTTTTTTAAATTTTTTAGTTTTTTTCTAATAAAATTGAGAAGATGATAGATTTTTGAAAAGTTATTTTTTTAAAAATAAATTAGAAAGCATTAGCTTTAAAATGAGCTATTATTCAACCTTCTCGGATGAAAAATGACTATTTGGCTAAAGTTTTTAGGTTGCCACCCTGAAAAATAGGCCTCTAATGCATAAATATGTTCCTAAGTTTTTCGATAGGATAACAGAAGAATTTCAAAAAAACAATTACAGTTCTTATGTAACTTTTGATGCTCTACAAGAATATATATAGAAATATAAAATTAATTGAAAAAAAATTTTTTCGAAATTTTTTGCAAATTATCCTTTTCATGTTTAATATTCTCTTAAAATTTCAGAACTATCCAACTACGTACCCAGCACTAGGTCAAGGGTGGACCATGACCCACCTCTTATTGGAATCCCGGGTACGTCGCTGAAACTATCCTTTTCTGATTCTTCATCGAAAATTTAATATAGAAAACTAACTTTCACATTAATGAGCTCAAAATTTGCTGAACATGAACAGCAGCGTAAAATTGCTTGTATACATCTTGCAAACTTATCCAGTGATAGGAATTAGGAGATCAAATGATTTCTTCTACTTCGTTCTAGCCATCATACCTGTGAAAAAAAAGCAACGTATCCTTTTTGAAAAATGTTGTTTCGTTGTCAAGCAATTTAATTGTTTTGCGATCAATGGCAAAAACCATGAACTTGTACTCGTCAAAGAATTATATATTGAAAAAAACAGCAAAATACACTTGAAAATAAATTTAAACTTTTGAAGAACTACCCTGGTAATAGTGAGACAACTATTATTTTTCCTTGACCTTCATAATAATCCTATCGTTCGCAATATGCGAAAGAACGTGAAACTGAAGATCAGTTTTTCAATAAAAGTTGAATATAGAATTGCACAAACTACTCCCAGATGAAACATATGAACCTCACAACTAGCGTCGGTAAAATATTTTTTTGTAGGAAAGTTCTTAACGGGGTCTTCTATTGCGTCCCTGAAAGAAAGCTGTTTTTATTAGACTGAGACATATTATAATATCATCATTGCCCATAGGCCTTTCCTAATCGGTTAACCAGAAACCTCGAAAAAACTCAAAACTTTTTCTAAATAAGTCACGATTATAGTCCGTCAAATTCTGATCAAAACGAGATATCTCCCTGCTGTAGCATCTTTCTTTGCAAAGTTATAGACTTTACAAGAAAAGCCCTAAATTCCTTTTTCTTTTTTTTGAATTTTCAATCAATTTCAGCGTATTTTTTAACGATTTTGTCTCTATATTGAACTGATTATTAGTTCAATAAATGCTTTTATTCTGATAAGCAAAGATTTTATTCTAGTAACAACGGTATTGGTTCACACTTCATAGAGTTTTTGTTTTCTTAAACATGTTCGTATACAATTTGTTCGAAATGAACTAGTTTGAAGTAGTAAATACACTATGTCAATGTGTGTGTTCGTCTACGAATGTATGAAGTATCTGTCGGTACTTCCAGACATGTTCTTCGACCGATTGCAAATTGGAAGATTGTGTTAATATTCTGTCCTTTCGTATTTGAAGATTTCTTGCTTGAGTTATGGTACACATTGAGCAGCTTTGGTACAAACATGATCGTAACGGTGATAATGCAGATAACAAAAACACACGCTCCATGAGCAGTTGTCGCTGATGTACGACCTCGGCCGAGTATTGTGTCAAAAACTGGCAGTAGAATCGACAAGAATAATAGGTTGTATACTGTTAGATTCAACTGCTTAGTCTCATCGAATGTATCGGGTATTCGGCGGATTTTGAATGTACAGATCGAAGTTAGCAGCAATAGACAAAATCGAACTGATAAAATAAAAGGAAATTGGATGATCATCTGATACGTCGATGAACAGTACTGATAAACTTTTCCCTCGATATCGCTCTGATCCAAATGAATAAAAAATGGATCACCGAGATTCAGTCCAATCAGAATTAAAGTAACGAATAATACTAGGCCGAACAAAACGCGCAGTAGATATTTGTCGGGTAAATAAATTTTTTGACGCATATGGAATATTTTGTACAAACGATAAGTTTTTAGCTATAAAAAAAGTGATGAGAGATGCAGGTTGGCTCGTTGTAGTTCTCAAAACTTTGCCCTACAGCTTCAAGTATCATACCCTGTTTCACAAAACTATCCATAAATTCTGTGATTCTAAGCAGAGCCACCCCGTCAGTCACCTGTATCTTTTGAAAATTCATTTTAACGTAAGATTAGCTTAAAACATCGCTCGAAACTCCGTTTACGAAAACTTTACCGCGAGAAATTCGTTTAAAAAGAAGCGCGAGAATCGCGTTTGAGGTAATCATAGGTTGCGTTAAATTTTTCGTAAACAGAGTTTCGCGCGATACTCTGAAGCAAAATTCGCGTTTTTACGCGATTCTTGAGCGAATCTCGGCATAGTCGCACTAAACGAAATTGATATAGAAAAACCCAAAACCCCCATAGTATGTCTGATATAGCTAAAGGCTAAGTTTCCCGAAGCAACTTTTTGCGAGGAATTCAATGGCAGCATTAGAAATTCTTTAAAATGTTTCTAAACCGAAATAAGTACCTATTTTTGACTGAGAATATGTACGACTCACAAGAGTTGCGAGACGCGTCTCAAAAAAACGACAGAAACGAATGTAACTTCATTCAAACGCGAGAATCAGTGTATTGTACTTTCTTCGAAAACAAAAATCGCAATTCCTACAAGAACATAACGAATTTATTGTGTTTTAGTACTCGGTGAGGATGAAAACGAACTCTTCTTTTTACAAACGCGAGAAATTAAAGTTATTCAAACTCGAAACGCAACTTTCTACAAGTGTAGAACACAAAACGCGACACACAGTGACAATTTACGTTCAAAACGCGTTAAATTCGTTTCAATTGAGTCCTAAACAGGAAAAATTCGGTACCATTCGCGAGTCTTAAAGTCTATTGCGACTGAAAACGCGTTTTTAAAAGTTATGATGGTCATAGACACTTTTCTCGCGAAATATTGATGATAAAAACGCGGTTTTGGGTAGGACGTATATTTAAAGCTTAAGAAATTCGCCGGATTCATGATGAAACTGTATATTCTCGCGCTCTATGAATGCTAAAACCGCGTTAAAACGAATTTTCAAAAGATACAGGTGACTGACTGGGCAGTTTCCGCTAAAATTGGAACGTACAACGGTATAGTAAAGATACATTATTATGACAGAATCTCATCAGATACAATCTTGCAACAAACTAACAGTTGCGTTACAATATGCTTGAAGTGAGATAAGCTAATGGACCGAGCTCTGCTCTCGAAAGAACTTTTTCAGAAGATACAATAAAGCAACTTCAAAAGAGGGGCTAAAATCCGGCTAAATGATAATCGATCTCAGTGACGTCCACGCAACTTAGAAGACGACGTTTGAGTATGACTACAAGCAGTCACTTATATAATGTATCTTCTAAATGAAGGTAAGCATCTCGCTACCAGTCTCATTTTTCCACAGAGTACACTCCATCTAACTGAACTTACCAGTAATGTACCAATGATTAGTGTGTAGCCAATATTCGTGAACCAAAGATCCAGCACACATGTGCTGCAAGAAGATACTTTGAAGTACGCTTCTAATGAACGCGGAATGATTGACAATGCTAAACACAGCAGGCCGATGAGCATAAAAATAAGAAAAGTCCAACTTGATGCTTTGAATACGGGAGTTTTGCGAAAATGAAACGTTGAACTAATCATTAATAGACATAAGAGGCTACAAATGGTACTACCAAATATCATGCCAATGAGAACCGGTGTCGGTATTTTGATTATCAGCTGTGGTCGAGAGGCTGACGGCCTTATCCATGTCCCACCGGTGTATAAAATGCTACGGTTTGTGTAGCTGATGTTACCTTCAGCCGTCATTGAGCCGACTTTAACCAATGAACCATTTACAAAATTAAGAATGTCAAATGGGATCAAGCGCTCACCGTATTCAAGAAACGAGACAATTCCGGTCACGCCTTGAAATGTGACATTTTTTAACACTTCCATATACAGTTCACAATTCAGCATCGGATCTCGCCCAACTTCCTCAATCATCTTATGAAGAGCATAAGCAAATGTGAAACACGCATCATAGGCAAAATTAGCAATAAGTGGAATTGATGACGTTTGGTCTTTTGGTTTAATGATGGGTGTATTTCCGCCGTTCAGGACCGAATACCAGTGATTTTTATATTGTGTGTACACCTCTGAGTTTTCATCGACAAAATGTTGTAATCCAAGAAAGCCTTGAGTCCATTCTGTATAGTCTTGTACTATTTCTCCATCTGAACTGTTCACAACAAGATCTCGGTACATACTGTTGTGGACGCCGATCCATTGGTAACCTTTTGCAAAGAGATCTATGGCGGATTTTAAACAATTTCTAATGACCTCTTGCTGCTCAGTGATCGTGCCAATAAATACAATAATACGTGCTGATGAGTTTCTGATTAAGTCAAACTCATGTGCTAGATTTGCATTTGACTCCCCACTGATAAATGGGCGCTGAACTATAATTCTGACATTAAATTGCTCGAGTAAATTGCTAAAGTTGAGTACATTGTGATAATTGAGTCTATCAGTAGCGTATAGTAGAGCTATATGGTGCCATCCTTGATTCGCTATAAAATGGGCTAGATGGTATAGTTCTACGGTTAAAGCAGGAATTGTTCTTGACAAATATGGATATTGTTCGCGAGAACTAAATATAGTTGATGAGTCACCATATGATATTTGCGGTATTTTGTAATGGCGAGCGACATATTGAACCGACTATAAAAGAAGTGTGAACAAGTTTACCAGTAGACAGCTGCAATTATATGTAAACATACGCCAAAATAATTTCACGATGAGTGCCAGTATGCTGATGTTAATATTACGAAAACGAAAGAGATCCGAATCGCCTTGCGCATGGCACATGTTGAAACAAAAAGCCTATGTATGTTGTCTGCATACAGAATTTTCTGATTCTTTTCGATATTGAATGATGTAGTTCAAAACTGAAGGCGCCCGTTCAACCGCTGAGAAACTCTAAGCGAGCTATCTCAAAGACAAAAGTTTGAGAACACTAATAGAAAGAGCGAAAAATATTCACTAGTCGTCACCATCTTATCCAATAGAAGATACGATTGAGCTGTTAGGCAATGGATACATGGAACTCCATAGGAAACTAACATTGCCACGAGAATCAGTATGATCTATAACCTATGATCTATTTCATTTCTGACAGTCCCAAACTCAACGGCAGAGGAGTGCTAAGGTTTCACGAAAAACGCCTGTAGCTCTCGAACCATGGATTTTCCGGATTCGCTTATATTTAGCTTTGCAGAAGACACCTTTTACTGTATATCTATGAAAAAGAAATCGATAGGTTTAGAAGAGAGTTTCAGAGATCTGAAGTGATTTTCCAATGATCTGGTCAAAAACCGATTCCAGAATCTTTTAAAAAGATGGGTTTTGCTTGTGGAACACTAGCCTTAGCCTTACATGCCTGTTGTTGATTGCTGCAAATCGCAACGCTCTATCGTACGCTGTTTGAGTTATTAAAAAAATGACAATCGGCACTGTATTTTGGCACCGATAGTAAAACTTGTATGATAGTTTGAAAAACATTTCCACATAGGTAACTCGATAAACTTACAAAGTGGCAATATCAGAGTCTCTTGATTTGCTGTTTCGTGATGGATCTCTAGCGGTCGAGTTTCCGAAGATCCATTCAGAAACTCAGTATGGGCGCAAATAGGCAATACATTCGCTGTCAACATCGAAAACTACACCAGAGAAACAACGTTTATAATCAGAAGCATCATAGATCATGAAATCTCGTCCACTGGACAATCTCGTGAAGCGTTTCTAGGTCATAATGATGTATTTTGAGTGAGTGAGCTACAAATTCGTTTAATCTCAGGTGGGAAAAGTCTGGAAACCTTGTAAAAAACAAACTTTGCTTTTCTAAACAACAACAAAACTTCCCCCATATTGGCCAGTTATCTAGGTCGCGTGTGATTTCATGGTTATTCAAAGTCACAACGTATCACTTCTGGCTCGAACAGAACCCAATATTAACCCTAAACCGCTAAACATGAAGATCTCATCACTCCAATCTGAAACGCGTTTTTGACTATTTATTTATGTATTTGCTCCCGTTACAATAGGGCATGTCCCGTCGTCTTTACCCATTCGTGAAAACGGCAGTTCCTTATTTCTTGTAATTCAGACGTTCAAAAAAGAGCCATTGGGTAGTATCTGCTTTACCTGCGTTACTAATGAATCAAATTCACCAACAATCCCAATCACACTGAGTCTTGTAATCTGATCAAGTGTAGCAAGTATTCCCTGGCCAACATCTGAGTTTGTATCGTTATACACATAGGTTAATCTAGTATTTGGTAGAAGATCAGGACGGTTATTAATTTCTTTAATGGCCAATTTAAATGCGAACAGTGCTGGTTGACCAGCTATTCGGCTGTCTGGATTGTCAGTGTTAATGGGCCCGAGAAAGCCCAATGTTAATTCAACAGGCGGCCATGTAATAGTGGCTGTAGAATAGTTCGATTTTAATTCAGTAGACGGTGACAAAGTAGCGAATGCACGAAACTCCTGAATTAGTACTATTAATAACAGCATGTTTAACCTGAGTGATAGAGTAGTCAAAAAGTATGGCACATAATGAATTCACGTAGTAAGATATGACATAAAAACAGTGATTTGTTCTCGTATTAGATAAACACAAAAAAAACAATATGCCACGGAATTTCTTTGATATGATGAATTTCTTGTAATATTTGATTCGAATTTGAACAAGATTGAAGTTTTGTTCTCATAAACAAAAGAGTAGCTACTATAAGGCATATTTACTAAAATATTTCATTTCAGATAGCTAATGATAAAAATAATATTAGACTTCTCCTGAGGAGGCAAAAATAATTTTGCTTATCATAACATCTGGTATGTATTTTGATATTAAATGTCAAAATAGATTGAATTATACGTGTAATACTTACTTCATGTTATACCAGTAAGAAAAGCGACAACCTAAATGTTCATGGTAATCAATTCTGATGATCATAAAAATGTCGATAGTGCAACTAAAATAGATAGCTCAGTGTTAATTTTGATAAGAGTTACAAATGAAAAAAACTTGATTCAATTATTTCTAATCTTAAAAAGATTAAAAAGAATTCTATTTTTGCTGAATAACTCCTCAGGAAATCGTGAGAGGTGCTGCAACCATCAAATCATACCGAAGTTATCTTGACATAAACGCTGATAGCTAAAATTACAGATCATTATTATGTTATTTATATGATTATGACATATCTACAGGCAAAAGTCCAGGTCGAAATTCTTTAATTCGATTTTTCGAAAATACGTGGCTATGGGTCGAAAATTCAGTAAAACGATCGTAACCTTTGATCAATAGGTCATGTGCCCGAGACCTTGTAGGCCTTTCCTAGTGTCACCGAGATGTACTTACAATGTTAATACGGAGTCGCAACTCGAGAGACAGCTCGGGTGGTTCCCTCGTAAGAGTTAAAGTCATATACCATGCAGCGAAAAATATGATAAATATCATTTGTCTTACAATTAGCTAAATGCTCAGATGCTGCTTGTACAAAATCTAATTCGAATAGTTCAAAATAGACATGCACCGAGACGAGAAGTCTTGAGAAGCCTCGATATTGTAGTCTCGACAGTCTCAGGTCTTATTACTCCTATAAGATCCTCTCATTTGCTGAGAAAATCGGGGAACCAGTTTTGTGTTGCATAAATTTTTCTGATTTTAATAAGATGGATGCAGGAAGACTTTCCTTCAGTTGCTGTGTGTGTATTTTACACATCGTCATGAACTAGGCTAAAGCTGAATGCGCTAAAGGCAACTCCGTAAGGTCTAACTTTTCAGAAAAGAATAGAAGGCAACTGCCGTCCTAAATTCCAAGGTATGCCGGCTGTCTTCCCGAGCAAGCATGGGCTGAATCAGACCAACTTTGTTTTGTTTCTGTTACTTATCTATTTTCTTTTTTTTCTTACAAAAACGTTACATAGCTTCACAAGAACATAAAATTATAAAAAAATAGTATCGAAAAAGTCTCGAAAAGTTTCGATACCGGCACTTTTATATCGAGACTATTCGAGACGAAAGTTTGGAGACTCAAGGCTATTCGCGACTAAAATTTTGGGTATCGAGTACCCGGTCTCGGTGTATCCCTAGTCCAAAATAGGTTCGTACAAATACAAATTATGCATCATAAGCGACACTAACCCTCAATTATGAAAACACTTCGACGCTTTGTAACATTTATTTGAGACAGCATATAACACAATATAATTCTCACTGCATCTGAAAATAAACAATCAGAAGAAAAAAACGAATGTCCACTGTTTGGAAAAAGCCCGTGAGTTTAGTGACACGCTGTATCGAAGATAAAATAGTGAATATAGTAGACAAAATCGTCGAAATTAGATCAGTCTCTAGGTAACTCGAACTAAAAGAAATATCATCTGCTTAAATACACAGAACGTTAGTTATTTTATTAAGAGTTTAGTGAGGTAGTCTTGAAGATCAAGAGAGTTGCAACTCACGAAATTTAGGCTCAGTGCTTCGCCGTAGGCAAGAGTTATATATAACTTGCACATCCATAATCAATTAAGAGTAGTGTTTTGTGCTCAGGGTACCTTATTCTCGTTAGTCATTCTGTGCAAAACCTAACGGCAGAGGAGTGCTAAGGCTTCACAAAAAACGTCTACAGCTCCAGAGCCATGGATTTTCTCATTCTTCTACTAGTTTTACTTAGACAGTTGTCATACATATGTTTTTTGGTCTTGATGTTTTTATCCTTAATGGATGGCACATATGATAAAATTTATATATATGTACTTTTCTCCTATCTTTCTTTATACGTACAGTGTAAGTGTAACTACATTGTATATGATTAAATTTTCTCTGATTATGAGTCGGTGACTCGAAACGTTAGAATAATATATTTTTAAAATTTTGTAATAAAATAAGTTGTGCTGAATAAATAAATATTATGACCTACATTTTAGCTTTAAAAAATTGATTTTTGAATCAAACATCTTAAAAATGCTGGAAAATCTCCGAAAACACCCATCTAAATCTATCAAAAAATTTTTTCAATAGATATGTAGGGAAAAATGTTTTGTGCAAAACTAACTGTAGGCAATATCTTGAAAATCCATGGCTCTGGAGGTATAGACGTTTTTCGTGAAGCCTTAGCCTCCTCTGCCGTCAGGTTTAACACTGTCAGAAATGAATGAGATTATAGGTTATAGATCATGCTGATTCTCGAAGGGAGTTTTTGGAGATTTTCTAGCATTTTTAAGATGTTTGATTCAAAAATTGATTTTTTAAAGCTAAAATGTAGGTCATAATATTTATTTATTCAGCACAACTTATTTTATTACAAAATTTTAAAAATATATTATTCTAACGTTTCGAGTCACCGACTCATAATCAGAGAAAATTTAATCATATACAATGTAGTTACACTTACACTGTACGTATAAAGAAAGATAGGAGAAAAGTACATATATATAAATTTTATCATATGTGCCATCCATTAAGGATAAAAACATCAAGACCAAAAAACATATGTATGACAACTGTCTAAGTAAAACTAGTAGAAGAATGAGAAAATCCATGGCTCTGGAGCTGTAGACGTTTTTCGTGAAGCCTTAGCACTCTTCTGCCGCTAGGTTTAACACTGTCAGAAATGAATGAAATTATAGGTTATAGATCATGCTGATTCTCATGGCAATGTAAGTTTCCGGAACAAAATGCAAGAACCGAGTAAAAATCTATATTAGGAGAAATAACCTATTTTTGATTATTTTCATCAAAAATTAAAAAATTCATAATTCATATCTATATCTGGAAATAGCGACTGAACCATCAAAACGGAGCAATTTCTGGATGTTTTAACAATATATGGTAAAACTAGTAAAAACTATAATGTTGCATGTATCCACACTGTAAAAAATAAAGTATGTTATTAGGTGTGTAAATCTTCTAAACGTTCACATGACATCAAAAAGTGTAGTTTTCTTCAGTGGTCAAAAAAGGTGTGTTTCTCATTTTTAGTGTGTAAAATTGTCTGTGGTAGCATTCTCAGTGTGTAATTTGTCTTCGTGTGTTGATGAAGCGAACTGAATTTCGTTCTAAAGTTCCGGATTAACAAATTAAGGACAGAAAGAGGTTGAAAAATGGTTTGTCGGCTTGATTATATCGAACATCACTCTTAAAAACATGTATTAAGGTTCACTGGTGAATAGCTATTATGATGTTCACCTGCACTCACATTCCATTTCACGACGTTCACGGGTGCATACGCAGCGGTATCTACCAAAGATGTTAAGAAGAAACAGTCGCCAAGTTGACAAAACGAATTCGCGAAGCGAACATTTTTTGACAGAGCAATGAAACTGTTTTTCCAACAGTGTTGGAGGATCAACTCCTATCAAAGGCAGGAGTAAAAGGCGACACATTCTCCTACTTTCTACGCCCCTAAATCAAATGCGTCTAGCGCATTCGAACGCGTTCTGCACTGTTCAGCAGATCTTCGCCGTTTCAGCTTGTAACGACTGGATCAGGGTTGCCACGTTCTCCCCTTTCCCCTTTTTTTCAATTCTTATTATTTCAAAACAAAACTTATTATGTTCTTTCTATGCCTACGAGAAGTGTTTGAGAGTGAGGGTGTTGATGATGGGTGTTCTCTACACATCTACGTGTGTTCTCATTCGTAGTCATTTTAATCAATTAATTATATTTTGTATGTATATCTACAGAATATACAAAAATACAAAGAATGGTTTCACAACAATGAAGAATTCATCAACTGTGTCTCTGTCTCTATTAATAAACAATAATTCTCATCAGTATAAACAGAAAATCGGTAGTCATTATTATTTGGTAATGATATTATTTATCAGAAACAAAAATACAACAAACAAATAGACATTAAAAAATACTTATTTATTTGAACGTGAGCGTTTGTGAATGCTTTCCACACTGGGCACAAAGATAAACATGTGGTACGTATCTGAAGAAGTAACAATCTTCATGGTCAACATGACCACATTCATGATGAACGATACCATCATGTTGACCTTCATAAACGAAACGACCACAAAAACCACAAATACCATATATGATCGATAACGACAAATGACGTTAGGTCCGTTGATCTACTATATCGTCATCCATTAACATTAATCGATCCATTGGAGTATAAGCATATAATATCGATCGTCACCTATAAAGAGCAATCAACTGACAATATAATGATATGAGAGTATGAAAACAACTTTAGACAATCAAGCTTACTTATAAAAAAGCGAGCTCTGTGATATCTTGGTTTAATTACCTATAGACGATAAATGAAGATTCATCCCACATTGAAAACAAACTGCATTGTGAGGATGATAATACGCACGGCACTCTTTATGTAACACGTGATCACACTGATAACATGCTACAGAACCATGATCATTATAAACCACTTTTCGCTTATATATCTCACAAATGTGTTGTGTCAACGGATCTAACGTAGCTGCATAGGTAAACGCACCGCGGTATTCAGATTTTTTGGTTAAAAAGGCGGATTTGT